TTATTGCCATACGGTATTTGCCCCTGTCGCTACCACGCAATCTTGGCTTGTTGATTTGCGCCCTATTGGTTTCGCCATGCGGCTGCTTTGTCAGGAGAACAGGCCTACGGCGCAGGACGCTATTGCTCTCCTTACGTTCTTGGCTCCTGACGATTGCTACCCGTGCACTCCTTGTCTGATCCCTGCCGGCGTCCAGGTTGTATGTCCTGTTGGATGCCCGGATGGCCCGCAATCAGGTGGTCTGCCTGTGATTGGTGTTGGGTTTCGCTATGCCACTTGTGGTTCGACTGGCGGTGATCAAGACTTGTTCCCCGGCACACGACAGGTTCCTGACGTTCCTGCCTTGTCTTATAAAAACCCGGCATCAGGTACACCTTCCCTTGTCCGAGCGGCCCGAAGTCATGTTGAACGGGGCGAGCGTGACCACCTCCCTCCCCCCTTCCATAGGCTCGAAGGACTTCCGCCTGAAACTGCGTCGGAGCGTGGATCTGATCCTGGAGGGTCCGACGAGGATCATGAGGCGCAGGTGTGGTCTCCCACCTTTCTTTTGTTTGTGCCTGACGCCATGCATGAGGTTGTGCAGGTCACTCTCGAGGCCCCGTGTTCGGTTGACACAGCCCTCCAGTCCATTGTTGATGCCGCGAGTGCGGAGAGATACCGCTTCTTCTCACGCCATGTGGTGGTGGACCCACAACCATCGCAACACTGGGGCGCTATCTTGGCGCTTCCTGCTTGGACTGACGACGAACCCGTGGCCGTACTTGACCTCCTTCATGTCGATGGTCGGTGTTTTGCGACCTACTTGCCAAATCCGTTCAACCGTACCCAAGCTCTCTATGCAGCTCGCTTGCCGGTCGACTACCCTGTCGAGGTGTTCGCTTTTGGCTGGCATACCCCGATGCAACCGCGGGACCGTGTCGACATGGTTGAAGGGGGCAAAATCACTTTCCGTAGACCTGGTGCGATGCATGTGGTGCAAGGACCCACGCTACAGAACATGCTGTTCTCACCTCACTCTTGGGACTTTCAACCTTCGCTCCCCTCTCTCCCTGCTGAAGGTCGATACGGCGTCGTTCATGAGGGCGGCTATGGCTACTTCACTACCATCGATGGCAGTGAAAGTGATGTTCTGCAAGGAGCCAGAGCCGCAAGCGGGCTAACAAGCGGCACTGTGCATTACGCAGTCGGACAATTGGAGGTTCAGGACGTCATGTGCCATGGACTGCCTTGTCAGGGCATTTGTGCCGTCGCTCCTGCGGAAGCAGCCGCGACGTCGTCTGGTTTCCACCCGTGCGTTGTCCTTATCGATCAGCGGCCGCTTCTAGAGGGTTGGTCCCTATGGGTGTCCCTGACGAATGAGCTATGTCACGCAGAACTCGCCAGTCTGTTGGAAACTTTTGTTCCAGCTGGGTGGCAGATACAAATTCTCGGAGCTAACATTGAGGGAGGTATGTTGCAAGTGCACAACGGCTTGGTGTTGACAGCCGAGTTCGTTCCCGTTACCTCCCCTGAAGAGACAGTGCACTCCCCTCAACTCACTGAGGGGTTATCCGAGGCTGATTCTGGCACCTCGCCACCTTCCGGATCGTTTGGAGGAGGTCCTTCTCAGCCCGCACCAGCGAATGGAGGTACTTCTGCTCCAGATGGTCGTTCCGTTGCCAGGGACCGCAGCAGGTCCCGCACCCCACCTGCGCCCTCCTCTCGTGTGCTTCGTCTTCGAGCCGGTATGGGTGCCTGTCTATTGGGTCAGCCGTCGTGTCTCTCTGCCGTTGGCGCCATATGTGCTCTCCCTGTTTCGTCGGCGAGTGCGCTCTACGCCGATCATACGAGCCCTGACATTGTGTCTGCATGCGGGCTGTACGGGGCTTTGGCGGATATCTTGGTACAAGCCACGCGCAGAAACTTGTGTTGGTTGGGCCTCGCCCCTTGTCTTGTTCTTTTGCATGGGATCGGTACCTTTTGCCTTTTGTGGATACGATCCTGCAAGTTCCTTAGCGAGCCGCAGGGGCGCAACTGTTCTGAAAGAGCTCGCTTGGCCGTTTTGCGTTCCCTCACTGTCGAACTTGGGGGTCAATGGATGCCAAGGCTCCCTTTCTTCTTCGATCTGCCTCCCGATGTTGAGGCTGAGGCAGACGACTCCGATTTCCCGCAGGAACAGGTTGTCCGTCGCATCCCGTGTGCTATACTGAAGCTGGACTACACTCCTGAACATGTGGCAGTTGCTCTCCGGGTGCCTGCTACTCAGGAGGAACTCACGAGGGCGCTTGAAGTACGCCGGCACGCTCAGGTACAGTGCACTTTTCCTGCTCTTTTACCGGTGTTACCACAGCCTGTCCCGGGATTCGCTGTTTTCATCGCCTCCACTGCCTGGCACGGTTTCAGCGGGGTCTGTTTCGATACCAGTCAGATTGATCACAGGGTCTTTCTGGTCTTTATGCCGGAATATGTCACGCGGAGTCTGCTTATCCGGTGTGCTGATCTCCCTGCGGGGCTTGATCTTGCTGTCAGATTTGGCGTTGACAACATCCCTTTGCCGGACGATGTTGAGGTCCATCTATACCCGGGTGCATTGATACAGTTCATTCCGACTCGGACTGTGCTGCAGGAGCTTCCCGGGCTTCCCACGCTTGGCCAGTCCCTTCTGCTTCCCGATGCCTGGTCGCCGAATGCTGCTTTTCCTGCCCCGGCTTTCGATGGCGCGGTCGGCCTCCTTTTTCGGGGTAGTGCTCACCTTTTCATCTCCGAGCCCGGGGAAGCGACACGTTACCGCCAACGCATTGCTGAGACTACCGGGGCCTGTCTTTCGCAGAT